TTGGATCTAGTAGTCATATGATGTGTACCTGTAACAGCATGATCAAGACTAGAAGAAACTTGTGAGTTAGGTGATGAAGCATGCTCAATTGGTAAGTCTACAATAATCTGCCCAATAGGTATAGTGTTTGGTGAACTGAGAGAACTTGATGAAGGTGTGGAAGTGACAGAATGTTGGGATGTGTCTTGAGGTGACTGTGTGTTTTGCTGGGATTGAAGAATTGGTGAAGAAGGTTCATGAGTAGTATTCTGGGGAGTGATGGATGACCTTGATGAGGGAATGGGGTTAAGTGGTGGGTGAAAGGAACATTTAGTGGGAGAGTTTGTATTTGTGTTGGGTTTATTGAGGTTGGTAGTATTTTGGTGAGCAAAAGGAAAAACAGTTTCAGTAAAAATCACATCCCTTGAGATGATGATTTTTTTGTTTGGAAGGAGAATTTTATATCCTTTATGCTTTGGACTGTAACCCAAAAAGGTAGAAGGTTGACTTCTAGGTTCAAGTTTGTTCTTTGTGTAAGGTATGAGGTTTGGAAAACATAGACATCCAAAATTTTTCAAGTGTGCATAGTCTGGTTTAGTTCCAGTGAGTTTTTCATGAGGTGTGATGTATTGCAGGATCTTCTTGTGTGTCAAGTTTATTAAGTGAACAGCTGAAGTGAAAGCTTCATCCCAATACATCAAAGGCATGCTAGATTGAGAAATAAGGGACAAACCTACCTCCACTATATTCCTATGTTTTCTTTCAGCTAACCCATTCTGCTCTGGGGTATAAGGACACGAGATTTTGTGTTTGATCCCAGCTTTGTTAAGGAAGTTAATCATTCCAATAAACTCACCCCCACCATCAGTTTGCAAAGATTTAATTTTCTTGTTTAGCTGATTTTCAACAAGTTGTTTGAATTGAGTGAAGGCAGATAAGGTCTGAGATTTGTGTTTAAGTAAGTAAATCCAAGTGAAACGAGTGGCATGGTCTATAAAGCTCACATAGTACCTAAAACCATTATGAGACTGAAGGTGAAGGCCCCCAAAGGTCACTATGTATGAGTTCAAGTGGTGCATAAGAATAAGTGGATGCAGAATTGAACGGCAACTTATGCATTTTGGATTTCATGCAATCAACACAAGGAATAGAGTTTGCATTTCCAGAAAAGGGAATATTACAATGTGTCAAAGCTCTTTTCACAACATCATAAGAAGGGTGACCCATTCTAGAATGCCATAAGTCTAAATCTGATTTATTAAGAAGCTGAGCATTAAAGACACTTGATTGAAAGCTGGTAAAGGGTTTTTCTTGTTGGTGGGCAACTGGACTCTTGCTTCTGATGAGCTGAAGGTGTATAGACCATTCTTAAGATTCCCTTCCAATAGAACTTCCTTGGTTGCTTGATCCTTCACAAAACATGACAAGGGGTAAAATTCAAAAAAGACTTTATTGTCCTTAGCAAATTGTGAGACACTCAATAGGTTTTTAGTGATTTGAGGGACATGAAAGAGATTGTTTAGGTAAAACAAATGATTGGGTTTATGAGCAGATTCAATGTAAGACTTCCCAAGGTGAGCAATTTTCATACCTGCTCCATTTGCCATTTGAATGGTTTCTGATCCATGAAAGTCTCCTGCTAAGCTGAGGTTGCTGAAATCATTTGTGAGATGATGTGTGGCTCCTGAGTCAGGGTACCACCAAGATCCTTAAGGTGTTTCAGTTTGTTGTTGTCCAACACTAGCCACATAGGCTGAGTGGTTGAAGTTAGACCCTTGGTTGAAGTTTCTGCTCTCAGTATTTGATCCTTGGCTGTTGTTTCCTTGATTTCCAGGTGGTGTGTAATTAGAATCAAACCTGTAGTATCACTTATCAGCTGTGTGGTTGTTGTACCCACAGATTTGACATCTGGCCCTAGATCCTCTAAATCTACCACCTCTTCCTCTAGCATTTATGCCTCCTCTTCCTCTAAAGCCTTGGAACTGAGGTCCTGATCTTCCTTTGCCTCTTTTCATTCCAAAGGTATTCTGAGTGGCAAGATTGACACTGAAGTTTGTGTTTTCAGCTTCAGCAGCCTTCTCAAGATTTTCCAATCTGTTCTCAAAACTTAGCAGCATGGCATAGCTCTCCATAAGACTTAAACTCTCAGCTCTAGTGGTCAGAGAAACTATGACAGGATAATATTCAGGGTCTAATCCATTTAGCAAGTATAATATTTGGTCTCATTCCTTGACCCTTTCACCAATAGATCCAAGCATATCACAGGTAGATTTCACCTTGTTGAAGTACTCCTTAATGGAGGTGTTACCTTTCTTCAAGGATGGTAGCTGAAGTTTGAGTTGCATGACTTTAGCTCTGCTGTGGCTTGCAAAGCTAGATCTGAGGAAGTTCCATACCTCTTTTGCTGTGTTGAGGCCCACGGTTGTGACAAGGAGTCCTTGTTTGTAGTATTTTTGGGCATGTGGTAACCGAGGTACCCGACTCGGGTCGTTCTCAAAGGAAGGCTCTTCGGAGCTTCGTTCACTACCTAGTCGTCAAAGTCACACAA